CGCTACCGGTTAAATGACACCCACAGAATTATGCGGGCACGGATATCTACTTAAATATTTATAAGGTGACGCCAAGCTATTTTCATCTTTAATGTCATACTTTCGTGATATCTTTTATGTGTCCTATATAGTATAGAAGAATTATTTTTTTATTCTTAGAAGATTTTTCACGATCTAGTGCGAATAACTAGACACGATGGTCGTTCAACGATAAAATAAACGTCCACGACACATGGGAACAGGCTAGACGCGACTGTTGTCAAACGAGAAACAAAACGTTTCGACATAACGGCTTAGAGACACACAGTATCCCTAGCGATTTTGGTATAGTAGTTTTTTGAATGGTGGATAACGCTAAGGCATCAAAATCATTAGGGATACCGTGTGTTTCTAGGAGTGCGACAGGTTAATAATAAAACTGAAACTAAATAAGAATAAAAAAACTGCTGAGAGGGGGTAGCAGAATTCGGTTCGCTGATTGCAGATACCTTAATCTTACCTACACTAATCTACCTTAGTCTCAATTTCGCTACAAATGTCATTTACGTTAGATACGATAAGGAGGACTGCATACCTATCAAAACCGCAACGCAGTAATGGATACTAACTGCGTGCTGGCAAAAATATGTACCTATGGCGGCAGTACATCTCTGGACGAACTCTTTCACAAAGATCTCTACTATTACTAAAATTCATTATAAAGTCCAACTTTCGAAGATTTGCATTTGATTGCAAGGTAATTAAATGCAAATCCTAATAATCCTAATTTATGACTAGCCTATATAAACTCTATTAAATGTTTACTTTTAACAGTTTGGATGGATTTAGAAAGGGTACGTACACATTACACTATACTTGAATCATTGAAGATTTTCTTGAACACCTGTAATAATAATTTTACTATAGTTTTTATTTTATTCACATTTTTTCACAATCCGCCACATACAGTCGTAACCCAACAAATTACGACTTTTTGCTGGTTTAAATTATTGAATCAAACGTCGAACTTGCTGTTACGACAATTATCTACGTTCAATAAATTAAATTTGCATTTGCAAACAATCGTATATCAAGGATACGACTTTATGTAGGGCTGAGCTTTTTTTCGACCTTTTATGTATTTATTATTTTAATAAATACTAAATAATGTGAATATTTTAATACAAAAAAATCACAGTTTCTCATTAGTGGTGGTAGGCTTTTACATAAAAATATTAGGTGTTTACGTTTTTTATCTTTATTTATAGACGCACCACTTCCCCTTAGTGTTGTGGAAACGTAGGAATTGTGCAAATCTATATTAATTATCAATTATTATTTTGCAACTAAGATAGATTTAGATGATTCTAAATTGGCAAAATTTAATACAACTTCACTTGTTATGTACAAAATTAAGATGTCTAAATTCAAACTAATTATTAACTTGTCTGAAAACAAAAAGGACACATTAGTAGTTAAAGATGTTCCACAAGTTCGTTGTAGTAGCCCTAAACGGACATGGATCGAGGTTAAAGAAGTTGCCGTTACTCATCTTCAGAACAATGTCATTTACTACCGCTACGACGTGGAAATCCAAAGCTCAATGACATTATTTCTCGGCAAAATACAACTGTGAACTTTGTAATTTAGACTTAAATTATAATTTAGATCAGTGGTTGTGTTTCTTACCAAAATGATTTGATAGGTACATTTTACTTTTTTTTTATTTTAAAAATTGCAATGGCTAATTGGTAAGCAACATTATAAATGTTGGTACAAGTTCCAAAAAAAATAAATCAAAAAGCTGTTTTTACTACTGGATTTAACTTATAATTTAAAATAAGTAATGTGATCTCATGTTTGTGATTTAGATTTAAATTATAACTTAGAACAGTGATTATGTTTCTTACCAAAAATATTTGAGAGGTACACTTAATTTGATTATTTAAAAAATTGTAATGACAACAAACAAATTATAAATGTTAGTACAAGTTTGACAAAAAAAAACAAAAGGATACAATAATAATTTTATTATGTACTAGTCATTGCAATTTTTTAAATAAAAAAATTATAAAATGTATCTATCAAATCTTTTTTGTAAGAAACACAGTCACTGTCCTAAGTTTTAACTTAAGTCTAAATTACAAAGATGAGATTAATTATTATAAATGTAACTTCAATCCAGTAGCAAACAAAGTTTTGTTTTTTTAACTTGTACTAACATATATAACGTTCTTATTTCACTAATCAGTCTATGCAATTTTTAAAACAAAAAATCAAAGTGTAGCTACCAAATCTTTTGGGTAAGAAACATAATCACTGATCTAAGTGATAATTTAAGTCTAAATTACAAAGATAAAAAGCACATTAATTATTATAAATTATAAACTAAATCAAGTAACAAAAGAAGCTTTTGTTTTTTTTTTAACTAATACTATATTTATAATTTTGTTGTCTTACCAATAAGTCATTGCAATTTTTAACATGAAAAAAAATTTAAGTGTAGCCATCAAATGTTTTTGGTAAGAAACACCATCATTTATCGACGTTATAATTTGAGTCCAAGTCATATTAATCATATTAGTTCTTATTAATTGTAACTTTTTTATGATACTAAGTGTGGAATGAACAAGTCGTGCGCCTGATGGTAAGCGACACGCCTGTCACATAACAGTCGCAGTGCCACTCAGAGCTTTAAATTGCAAAGATTTGGGGGGCACTGCCACAGCGCCCATCACCCTGACATATAAGTTCAAAAGTCCCATGTGCCTGTAATTCACCAGCACACTTACCCTTCAAAATCGGATCGCAGTAATGCTAACATTACTGCGTGGCGGCAGAAATAGGTAAGGTGGCAGTACTTCCTTGGACGAACTCTTTCACAAGGAGTTCTACTGCTATAATTCCAACAGCAAAAACAACTTTTTCGTTTTTTTTTTTTGAGAATCAGTACTAACATTTATTTATAATTTTATTATCTTAGAACTAGTGCCAAAAAACCAAAAGGTTGTTTTTGCTACTGGACTTAACTCTTATATAATAATAATTAATGTGATCTCATGTTTACACATTAGATTTAAATTACAACTGAGAACACTGATTGTGTTTCTTTTTCAGTTAAACAATAAATGTTTTTCATTTCGAAACTTATTTTTATTGTCATAAAGATTATTTTTGGTTTCATAATTAATACTTGAATAATATGACCCCGTAATATGAGTCAAATGTAACGTCATAAAAAGCAGTATGTTTACATACGACACCTTGTTTAAAATTATAATTAAAGTTTAGACCACACATACAGTCGTATTCTCAAGTTACGACATTTGCATGAGTTACAAAGGGTCGTAACAATAGATTTTCACGTTTTTCTCCAGAAATACGGCTTTCTGATTGATGTTAATTATTGCGAAATATAGACAGACACTTATAGAACAAAATCACTTACTTAATATTTGTATGAAACGCACAAACCGATATCAAAAGTTTAAATATCTGTTTCTCGAAATGTTACTTTTATGGGTTACTACTACTCCCTTGGGACGCGTCGATTTGGAATTAAGTTTTACCGTTTCAGAGATTTTCTGAATCGTGTTTTATTTACCTGTTCAGTATGACGCGAATAACTCCGAAACTGGAACTTTCAAATCTACTACAACTGTATACCCTACTTTAACTTTTATATATGTGTTCACCTTGTGAAGAGAAGAAAATAATGGTTTTAATACAATTAGAATCGCTTTTACAGACGACATCGAATAGCTATTAATTTAAAAAGATTTTACTCACCTGTAATTAATGTCTTCAGCAACAAACACATAATTGACAAGAGACATAGTCGTAGTCAGCAAGGGCATGCATATTAAAAAATATTGAACAATTTGAAACCTGCCAAAATCATCAAGTTCCCTGAACACATCACTAAATTCCTCCTTTGTAACAATCGTCACCATTTTCACACATTAATTAAGTTTTACTTTCTTTTATATGATTGTGTTTATCGATAGACAATGTTTTTAGTATGAAATAGTTGTTAATAATAAAATTATTATTTTATTGAAAAAGTTAATAGTCCGATACCGGGACAACTGGCCCGTTACTGGTAATAAAGTTCAATTGTTTAATGCAGCAATTGTCTTTGATGTTTGAGATAAGTATTAACAGTAAGCCAAACAAGTTCAATGTGTTTATATCGTTCAATTCATTTTGCTTCGAGCTACTTAAATATTTACAGTATCATACGTCGTGTTAAGTTCGACTTCGCATGTCGTACTGTCGCATACGATAAATTTGCCATTCAAAGTCCACGTGATGCGCTCTCATAGAAAGGGTTCAGGCAATTTACGGTTTCCATGTAATAATATACACGCGTACCGATGTTAATGATAGGTAAGTAATTGGCAAGGTTATTATAGCCACAGGTTGTTTCCTTAACAGTTTTCATTGATAAAAGAAAACTAAATAGAAGTAATTTGACCAATATTTTCAAAAATAAATTTGGCCAAAACTCATAATATTTCGGCAATTCTATGGTATAAATAAACACATTTGCACCGGTTATTTCTTTTAGTCTCAAGAAATAACGTTCTTCGTTCTATTTGTTAGTCAGAATACTGACCTTGGAAACGATGTAGCTGTAACCATTCAATATTTTACTTAAACGCCTGCAGGAAATACTACAAAAAACGAGATAGCAAATGTAATATTTTTTATAACAGGCGTATTACGTCTAATCGTTAACATAATTATTATGACAGGGCTATGCGAAGTATGTGAACTTTTTACCAGTATTCAATTTCATCCAAAAGTTTATTTGAAAATATTTTAAGTCACCATTGGAGTTATTATATTTTATTTTTAAAATTATTTTGTACCTGTGCACACTTCGCTGCACATATTACGAACATGTGCTTCATATTGGTCTTACGCATTTAAAAAAATGAACAATTGACATTGACATTTCCTATTGTCAAGAAATGGCGGTCAACGTTTCATATAAACTGTTTTAGCTTTTTCTTCAAAAAGAAACGGCCAAAATGCATATAAAACAGGTAATTTTGTGATTACAATTGATTTTACTTCGTTGTGCGTGTTAAATAATAAGCTAAGTGAGTAATTAGTGTGTAAATTACAAGTGGCGTCATGCTTCGCGTTGTTATTGTTTACAGGTCATCATTCAGGGATTTAAGAGTTACCGTGAACAAATTGTAGTAGAACCTTTCGACAAACGGCACAATGTAGTCGTCGGACGAAACGGTTCCGGAAAAAGTAACTTCTTTCACGGTAAGAGTCTACTTTTATTTAAGACAGGCGGTAGGAAAGTTTGACCTCTTTACTGTTCGCGAGACTAATACGATTTCTATCCATATCTTTAATTTTATTAGACTAGTGACAGGTGATAAAATATCATCATACTTCAAATTTGAATTATATTTTTCAGCTATACAATTTGTACTGAGTGATGAGTTCTCTCATCTGCGCCCTGAGCAGCGACTTGCGCTCCTCCACGAAGGCACGGGCCCGAGGGTCATATCAGCCTTTGTGGAGATCATCTTTGACAATTCTGACAACAGAATACCTGTAAGTTTTAAAGTCAATTTAATTTCAGGTTAGAATTCTGAATTACCATTTTGAATAGTGAAGCAATATTTATTCTTGATAATCATAAGTACCATTGAATGTAAACGTTTTTGTGCATCTAGTGAATAAATAAATAATTGAAGTCAGGTACTAACTGCAAAAAAGTTCTCTAGATGTCACTTAGTACTGAGCTTTCAAATATTGTACTTCTAAGTATTGACCTACCAATAAATGGACGTCGGGTTCGCGCTAAAAAGTGTCCGCACCTGTAGGGCATTAGAATCGCATTCAGAGTGTCAATCACACAACAGTTTTCGTTTATTCAACTGATAGAGCGGTTGTCAATCACGCAGTACCAATAATAATAACTTGTAAAAATTACTGCAGTAAACTGTAAAAACAGGTTTTTTAAATATAAATGATCTCAGTACAGAGGACTAAAAAAACCAACCTGAAAAGTATGTGGAATTACATCTATTTGCTAAGTTTTATTGCAACATCCCCTAGTATACCATTATACAGAACTAAACACAGGAGATAATAAAAATCTGTTCTCACTACTTAGTAGTAGTAAGTATATTGAGAAAGAAAAACGCCTTGAATTGGAGAATAGCAAAACCAACCATAAAAATAATTGCCGCTTAAGTAAAATTTTGGCGCTATTTATAAAAATGAATGTTCATGCATGATCAGCCACCCTAAGAGGTGGATGCTTTTCTTCAAAATGAAATGGGACCACTATGGAGGTACCCTCTTTCCAACAAAAAAAGAATCATGGAAATCGGTTCACAAATACCAGAATTATCGCGTAACATACATAAAACAAAACATACAGTCGGATTGAGAACCTCCTCCTTTTTTGAAATCGGTTAGTTACAAAAGCACACAAAATAATCAAATAGCTTACTGTCCTTTTTCTACACATTGCATGCGCAAAAGATAGACAGATACCCGTTAAGAATTCAAGAAGCTTACATAAACTTCTTGGTCATTTTCAATTGTTTGAACCACAAGCAATTGAAATATTTAGAACAATGAAACTTTGATTTTCATCTTATTTTATTTATTATTTTTTACTTATCAGAAGTTAGAAAATACCTTTGACTGAAAAAATGTTAGCTCAAATTTTCATAATGTCAAATGTATTTTTTTAGGAAGATTACAAAACAAAAGCTAATTTTGTCTTTGTGAAAAGCATCAAAATAACTCGAAAGCGTAATGGTTTTATTATAAGTCGGTTTTCGGAATTACGGATATTTGAGTTCACATTTAGTTGGAATATTGGTACATTTCTTATAGTACACGCTTTCACATTTGTAGTAATATTTGTATGTATGTATCTGCCCAACTCTTTATTATGTTTAAGTGAATTTGTACAAAATTCGACATAATAATATATATAAAAATTAAATAATATTTACGATAAAGGCTACTCCATTACTCTTGTGTTCAAGTAATTTTCAGTTGTAACTAAACATGATGCGTTTTGTTAAATTTACAGTAGAAGCTGAATATGGTGTTTTTTGGGGCCGTTAAATTGTTGCAAGCAAAGTTAGGCAGCACTGCAATGACATTACAATTTAAATTAAATTTTTTTTTTTTAATTTTGTTACATGTCACTATGTTTGTATAGGTTAACTTCGGACATTTTTTTTCGTGATTTTTGTATTAGACCCGACGTCCATTTGTTCGTATAAAAAAAAAGATCAATGTTTCTAAGCTATTGACTTCTTATTACATTTCCTTCAGATTGAAAAAGATGAGATATTCTTGCGCCGAGTCATTGGCTCTAAGAAAGATCAGTTTTTCCTGAACAAGAAAGTAGTACCGAGATCTGAAGTACTCAATTTGCTGGAGAGTGCTGGTCTGTCCAACTCGAACCCGTACTACATTGTGAAGCAGGGTAAAGTGAGTATAAATTTTCGTACTAGTTTAAATTATCATCTCATTTGTGTCAAAGTTATTTACCATATTTTTATTTTTTACACATTAATAATGTTATACGTATTGCGCTATACTCTTCACGTCTGTAAATTGCCACTGAACATTATTGCAATTTATAGAAATATTAGTAGGAAAAAGATTATTCTATCAGATTATAATTTGATGTGTTTCTACAATAATCACCTAACTTAAAAAACACTCAAATTCATTCAAAAGACGGTTTAAACAAAACAAGAATACTTGGTACACAAAGACAACTTATAATATTTTATTGACTTTGAGTTTCATAAGTTTTTTGCCACCATGACATTCATATATTTTTATGAAATAACTTCACTATTTTGTTATAATTATTAATACAAATATCAAACACATACAAAAACTTCTTTGACTTGACAAGACTTGAACCAATGACCTCACTGTACCATAGCATTGCTCTGTCAACTGAACTATGTGTCAAGTTAGCAATTCTTCTATGTGTCTTGTTAAAGATGTTTGCACTGCGTTTTTTTGTCTTTCAATGCTGTAAGTGATATCTTGTGAGAGATTTACGAACCTTGTCACTCAGCTGGTACCATTACAGCTACTGCAAGTTGACATTGATGTCGCTTTTCGCGAAAGAAAATTTCTCTTTGTGTTCGATTTTTGTATTAATAATTGTATCATAATGTTGTTACATCGTTATTTTAAACACTGAAAATGTCTGTATCTTATTGACAATAAATTGAACATATTCTAAATGCAGCTAAAGAAAAGTGGAGATATGTAAATTACGGAAAAGTCCAGTTTAAAGCTTCCATATACCTATAACAAAAAATCAAAGAACAATGGCAAAATCGTAGTTAATAGAATTCGTTAGCGTCTTCAAATGTCTTAATTACAAGTTTGAATAAAATAAATTCATTAAGTTTTTCAAATTATAATAGCGGCCTATCTAAGTCTGGAAATAAAATTATATTTAAAAGCAACTCTAATGACTAATTAATATGTAACTGGACTGATATCTACAACCATACAACTATCAGTTTCTTAGTTTCTTGATGTTGAGCGACATCTAGCCACCAAAAAAGGAATCTCAATAAGCTACATGTGGATATGGTCCACGTTTAGTTCACGTACTCATGGTACCACGATTTCGTTTAACCAAGGTAAACAACTGTTTTATGGGGAACTGTATACGTTTTTACAATAAGATTCCGGAGCATATATTAAGTTTATCATTTCCTAAGTTTAAAAACTACATTAAAAATATTTTGATCGAAAAATCATATTACAAAATTGAAGACTACGTGTTAGATAAAGATGTATGGAAAGACGACATGGCTCCAGAATCCACACAAATTTGATTCAAAGTGTATTCCATAGCATTTAAGTTTATTTGAAAAGAGCAATCCCTAGAGTTTCTTGCTCGTTCTTCTTAAATGTGACGTTTTCAAGCATTGACTTACAATTATATGGACGTCGGGTCCGCGCTAAAAAGTGTCCGCACTTGTAAGGCGCTAAAATCGTATACAGAGCGCGACACTCCGCTTTAGTCTTCATTTGTTCTATTGACAGCGCGATACTGCGATGACATTACAATTTAAATTTCGAATAGGTTGACTTGGGACATTTTTTTCGTGGTTTTTGTATTAGACCCGTCGTCCATTTATTTGTAAGTCAATGTTTTCAAGTGTAAATTTATTTTACCTATGGAATAAATAATCTTTGACTTTGACTTTGACATAATATCAAATGTATTGATTAAACTGATTTGTAATGAGCTAATTAAAGATTAACTACTTCATTACAAAAAATAAAGTCGATAATTTCTTCTCCAAAATACCACGCGAGCAAATGGTAAAACTGACAAAACAGTTCCCGAAATCAGGGATAGATGGCATTTTTCACAAAAAAAAAAAATTGTTTCCAAGTTACCAGTGCAATAGTCTGTGGTATGTTATTAATTAACTCGGTTTTTTGTTATGGCATAACTTCATGCCTTTTCAATACAAAATAATTTCCTCTGAACTTTCGTAACGTCACAAACCCACGGCACCATTCAGCTTTTATTAACTCTGTTTAAGGCTTCTGTAGTTTATTTTGATATAATAATACACAGAATATATTTTAATCAAGCATGTAACACAACTACCAAAACTTCAAACTGGAATATCTTAAATTCCAGACTTCTCAGAATAGTAAACCCAAAATAAAATTTGTTCAGGAATTACAACTCTATATTTTCACATATTTTTCATAAACAGATGCATACAAATTATGTCAACAAACATTTATATGGTAGTTTGCCATTGTCCTTTGGTACACAAGACTGCCGCCGTTAGTTGAAACGGCGCATGTGACATTTTTTCAAAAGATTTATTACGTGTATTGTTGTGATCAGTAAAAAAGACCCATTGTCACTATTCTTATTTTATTCTAAATTGATAACATATTATGAAGCTACCGCAAGAGTAAAGTAGGTTTTTTAAGTACTTTCTTTGAACATTGTTTTGAGTATTGACGTCCTTTCAACTAACGGTGGGAGAGTAAGAAATAACAAAATAAACTAATGTGAAAGTTATGGTTTGAAGAAAATAAGTCACGCGTTTTTTGATAATCCATAGATTAACCAAATGGCAGTAGCTCCTGACTCTCACAGACTCAAGCTGCTTCGGGAAGTGGCAGGTACCAGAGTTTATGATGAACGCAGAGAGGAATCAGTTACTATCCTCAAGGAAACTGTTGGCAAGGTAATGGAGAATATTTATTATACATTTTTATATGACTAAGGCAGGCACATACTGAATTTCCGACTCTTGACTTATCTCTTGCCCTTCCTATGCTTGTGTCAGTAATTTCATCGAGTGTATAACCAGAAATAGAGATGCAATAAGGGCCATCCATCACTAGCAACTCACCAGTCAATGGTACTGATATCACCTATAAATATCAACTCTCGTTTGCGTTGAAATCACAAATTGGAAGGCTGAAATAGTACAGCGCCAACAACTAACCTGTGTGTATGTAACATACGTCCGTATATTCAAAAAATATTCTGTATTTATTGTAATAAAGATAACATCTCTACTATGGGGGGCTGTTCTGTTCGGTGGTGCGGGAAAAAAATCATTATAGCAAAGCTCAAGTTAAACTGGTCATTTTGAAGTGAAACAATTGAGGACACCCGTCAATTGTTTCGAATTCGGGCTGGCCAATCGGAACGCAGTTGTCACCGTTATGATATGGCAGAATAGTTTTCAAACAAATTAAATGACATTTTGTCTCTATTTCTGGTTATATACTCGATATTTTATATACACCTGTTTAATCTAATTAATTTCGATTACCATCCACATTCATTCTATAAATTGGTTTTATTGTTGTACTAATATCCTCCTATTCCATATCACTATACATTTTTAACTTACCAACTCAATTTTATACTAATATTGTATCTTATTACAAATAGAATGGGTGGTTTTTTATTCAATAGGGTAACTTAGGGAAAAATCCAGTAAAAAGGCGGCAGATTAATTATAAGTAACGACTGTTGTGATCACCAACTTGCCTGCTGTATTGTATTTAGAACAATCTCTAGCCTATCAAGCTGTAGCCATTTAAAGTTGGTGATCAATTTGTATAAATTACTAAACTAAACAATTTGGAAAAGGAGGATAAATATAACATTAACAACATTGAAAAATTGGCAAAAAATGAACACAAATATGGTTTTTTTTTACTGAAGATAAAGAATGAGAATGAGTTTCGAATATTTCACTTTAAGGGTCGTTTTCAGATAACCTCCAAAAATGTGTCCCTTTCAATAACTTTTATGTTATTACATGACTGCTGAGCATATTTAAGAATCTTAAAACCAAAAGAAAAAAGGGTTTTACAAAAATCACTCAAAAAGCGCCATTGAAATTCGGAAAGTGTAATTCACCCTTAAACGCCAAACTGACGAGAGAGACAGCTGCATAACACAAACAAAGAACTTCATACACTGTCCTTAGAAATGCAGAAAACAAAAGATTTTATAAATGAATTTAATAGTTAATTACTGTGATATTATATTATAGTTCTCATATGTAATTTGATTCTTTGTTATGAATCCTACAGCTTTGTGACACAGTCATTATTGCATTTTCATTTCTTTGTAGTTATATCAATTTTGTTTGTCCTTTTTATGTGTGTAGTCTAATATTTAATCATTGATAGACAATTCGTACAATAAAACAACCTTGAGTTTCCTTATACATATTACATGGTCATAAAGTTACGAATTTTTCTTGCAGGTGGAAAAAATTAATGAGTTCCTTCAGACCATCGAGGAGCGTCTGAAGACCCTGGAAGAAGAGAAGGAGGAACTGAAAGAGTACCAGAAATGGGACCGTTCACGGCGTGTGCTCGAGTTCATCATACACGATACTGAACATCGCGAGAATAAACGCAAGCTTGAAGAGGTAACTCGGTTAATATTAGTGATTCAAAAGCTGTTATGCATTAATGTAGTATCCATGGCTAAAACGCACAAGATTCCTGGGTACCAATTCTCGTACTCTAGGACATTGCCTCGATTTAAATGTAATGTCATATCCTCAATGTCTACAAAAAATGTCACTGAAAATATCTATTGTCCTAAAATTTTTTTTTTCGGTTTGGAGAAAAACACGAGAAACATATTCTTAGATATCTAAGTAGAGTAGTTGGTTAGATATATAAAAATATGTTTCGCGTTTTTCTCCGAACCGCTATTTTTGCAAGTACATTTTCAATTAGCAGCATAGAATAGAAACGGTATGTTGATTTGAATCCGGAAAAATAGTTTCATTTCCGGTATGTTGAAAATTGTTCTATAGTACTTAGAATAAAACAAAATCTCTTAGCGCGCGTTGTGTTTTCAGCTGTTGAGAAATTGTGTCATAAATCAAGATCAGTCAAGTGTGTATTGATTGAAATGACTGAATATAACATCAGTCATTTCTACGTTAAAATAATGTCTTTGTCATAAGGGAATTTTAAGTTAACATTTTGCCATAACAAATGAATTGAGTTGTCATTTGTCTCGGTTTCGTACAACATTCCCAATATCGATGAGTAGTATATTTATTTAAAACACTTTCATTAATATTCTTTAGTTTTTCCCCCCCTTTCCAACTCTTAAATTTCTATCCTAAGGATGCCTGGAAGAAATTGCTCCTTAGCATTAAGGCCGCCTGTTGTACATTAGCTTACTCTGTGATATTTACGTTACTGTTATGTGTTGTCATTGTAATTTTAATGTGCTATAAAGAATTCCTTCACTCATTCATGCATCCCACTAGCGACATCCTGATCCCTACTGTCTCCCCAACCACGGGTGGCATGTCGAACGCTGAAGGTTGACACATTGCCGTCAGATTCTGAGAACACCAAGAACTGCGTGCGATTGTGTCAATCATATTTTTTAATAAATTGTTTACTGTGAAATTTTATCTATTGCATGATAATTGGGGACCTATAGGACTAGCACGGCAGGGCGCAACTTGCGACATAAAGCGTAAGAGCTCTATGCGAGAGTAGCAGTATCTCGCGCTTTATCTCGCTCTCGCGCAAGTCGCGCCTTGTCGTGCCTGTCCTACTGGTTCATTACCTAGCACGAACCGACTCTACCACAAGTGTATAATAGCAGTTGTCGTGTGTATAGCAAAATATACAGTGGCGGTCACGAGTAGAAAATATTTGTATAAAATATTCTACAAAATATACCTTATGAACGTTGATAGAAGTATTTTGAATCACACACTAACAGTTACTTTAATGTTCAAAGCAAAACTTTGAGACAATGTACGTGTTCGAAGGTTCTATATGAACCCTTCGATGCCATGTAAACATATAAAACACCCTATTTGTATTTGAACATGATGGACTGTGAGTTATACCCCGTATAATGTTACAGTTGGAAAAGCTCCGTACAAACAGTGGGAAGGAACAACAGCAATACGCCGATATGGTGCGTGAAGCGCAGGACCACGTCCGAGAAGCTAACAGGTAACTTCTATGTATAACAACAGTATTATTACAAATAATGACCGTAATGGCAGACACAGGAGCCATTAGATCTTATGTCCCATAGCTGGCAAAGCAAATGCGATTTTAAGGATACTTACTTTGGATCGCAGTTTTTTTTTATAATAACAAGTGCCGGGACGAACGTAACAGTTACAGTGCCACTCAGAGCTTTAAATCGCAAAGATCTGAAGGGCACTGCCACTGCGCCCGTCACCCTGAGACAAGTTGACAAGTCCCATGTGCCTGTAATTTTATAAGCACCTTTACCCTTCAACACCGGAACACGGTAATGCTTTCATTACTGCTTGGCGGCAGAAATAGGTAAGACAGCAGTACTTTCCTGGACGAACAAGGAGCTCTACTGCTACTAGCTAGCTAAAATGTATTTGGCGGTAATCACATTTCATCACGTGTACCATCAGTTACCTGCTTTCATACCGTAAAAAATGTTATCATAAGAATTCTGTAAATAATATTCATTCTTTCAAAATTTCCCTGAAATGAATTACGTTACTCTGATGCTCACAGTACAGGGAATTCCCTAATTTGAGACCAGATAATCTATGCGACCGTCTGGTACATTATTATTGTTATAGAATCAAACGGAAGAAATCTTAACTAAAGCCGAAAATTCATATACCTTTGATGTTATTCAAACTTCAGAAGTCAGCATGTTATTACGACAATGAATTACTATAGATGCGTAGTTTTTTGTAAACACGGTCGTTAATAATGATAATGCATGTTAATGTGCGTAAATTTGAGTGTACGTATATAATAATAGACGTTAATTATTACTATTACAGGAAACTAAAAGAAGCTCGGAAGGACGTAGCGGCAGCACGTGAAGAGAAAGACATATTGTCGACAGAACAACAACAATTGCTTAGAGAAAAAACCAAACTTGAGCTTGCTATCAAGGATTTGACGGATGACGTCGATGGGGACAACAAGTCTAAGGTATGGATGGCATTCTTGAAAAAACTTTACCAGCGATTTGCAGAAAAGACTTGAATTTATTGTGTCGTTAACTATAATACGTGATAATTAAATGACGACAGCGGTAGCGCAACGGTGTGCACTGTGGACACTGGACGAGGAGGTCCCGAAGGACGTTTTCTAAATTGGTTCTACGATGGGTGTTTTGGATAGTGCCCCGGAATGAATTTCGTTGCTCTTGTACTCATAGTTCAGGGAATTCCCTAGTTGGGTAGTTAAGTTTGAGACCAGGTGATTGGTGTGGTTGACCAGCACAGTTATTATTATTAATTGGTCTAGAGTCCGGCAAACCATGGAGGCTAAAATGTACTTTTTAAAGATTCGAAACATTTATTTTTTTATCATTATATTTTACTACACTATTTATTACGTGTCTAAATGTCATAATGTAAATATCTATTAGTAAAGTAATTTAATTAGTTTACACGTATGCCATTTTATTTATTTATTTATTCATGATATATTTAGTGTCATTATTTTAGCACATACCAACACACATACGTTATGTATATGTATGCATTGTTTGCACTCGAGTCCGTGCATCACTCAATCGGGCTTGCTGAAAACCAAGGCTTCAAGTAGGATTTCCTGCCCGTAGCTAAACGCTGAGCAAGTTCTGTTTGCGTGCGCAGAGACACTCACTTATTTTTATTATTATATTATTGTATTATTATATATGAAAAGTAAATTGCATTTGTATGCAAATTACTTTTCTTTGACTATTTGTCGTATTATGCTATAGTTTTAAGTTTATAATGTTATAGTATTGTAGTTTTCAAGCTCATTTATGTGTGTCTCAACACAATAAAACACATAAAGTTTTCTTATTCTTCTTCTTACTCTACTATCTTTAACAACCCAGTCTATAACAGGAACGTGCAGAAGCTGAATTGGAACGACTACGTCAACAAATCGCAGAAAAGGAACGCGATCTTGAAGAACTAAAGCCGAAATACGAAGAGATGAAGGCCCGTGAAGAAGAGTGCACCAGAGCCCTAGCTCTAAACCAACAAAAGAGACAGGAGTTGTATGCGAAGCAAGGTCGTGGTACGCAGTTCACTTCTAAACAGGACCGAGACCGATGGATTGAAAAGGAATTGAAGTGAGTAGGATAATATTAAGTATGTATCTGTGTGGTTTATTGTCCGATCTTAGGATAAACTTGTGTTTAAACCTATAAGGCACAGAGACGGGTAGTAAAAAACCCAAACAACCCGCACGGGTTTTACCCAAAGTTTCTAGAGTCGATACGATAGTTTTAGGATTTCAGAGGAATGTCCATAAATGAATACAACAGTATGTTTGTAGTAATACAGTGGTGCTGCACTGAGTTCCAGGTCACTCTCGCTGACATCGAGGGTAATGAGTCAGCAGATGAACTGGCAAAGGCTGGTGTTAGGGAAACCTTTATTGAACCCGAACCCTTCATTGGGATAGCATACAGCCTGGCAAAACTCACTCTGCTAAATGAGAGCACACACCTCTCCCAAGAAGTGTGGCTACAGAACAAGGGGTCTTGAGTATTCAGAGGCCTACATATCTGCCTACAGTGCCAAACACTGTAGAGAAGCTCTGTCATTGGACAAGAATGGCATAAGAATGCTCGCTAGAGCCCATCGAGTATATAACCAGAAATAGAGACGAAATAAGGGCCATATATTCCTGGTAACACATTAGCGATACAGCACTTATAAATATCAACTCCCGTTTACACTGAAATATAGACAGGCCAATTAAGACCTGTGTGTATGTCTCTGTATATTCCAAAAAATATTCTGTATTTATTGTAATAAAGTTATTATCTCTAACAATGCCGTGCTGTTCTATTCGGTGGTGTGGGAAACAGCAAAACATCTAATTACAAAATAAACGGGATTACATTTCACCGGTAATTAAATTAGAATATGTAATTTTGCAATTTTCGTCCATTATAGCAAAGCTCAAGTTAACTGGTCGATTTGAAGTGAAGCAGTTGACGACACCCGTCAATTGTTTCGAACTCGGGCTAGCCAATCGGAGCGCAGTTGTCACAGTAATGATATGGCAGAATAGTTTTCAAACAAATTAAATGACATTTCGTCTCTATTTCTGGTTATATACTCGATGCTAGAGCCTTAACAGGGCATTGTTGCTTAAACAAGCACATGTCAAATATTGGGCAGAGAGAAAATAGAGAATGTAGATTCTGCCACACGGAGGATGAAACTCCTGTTCATCTACTCACCCAATGCTACGCCTTGATGGGCGTACGAAGTTCCGTACTGGGAAGGCACATGCCACAACCAGAGGACATTAAATCTGTCGGAGCCAGGAAAGTCCTTCACTTTTTGCACTCTGCACTGTAATTAGTGGTGATCACAATAGATCAGTCAATGGTCGTGAATGGTGATGAGGGGATGCATAGCCCCTGAATGAAGCCACCCTAATAATAATAATAATAATAAAATCTTTTAGGCCTTGGGAGAGGCGAGAGTTTAAAATAAACATAATAATAATAATAATAATGTTTGAAATACATATGTTAATAATTCGTACTTACATCTTTAACACATACAATTCCTTTTCGTCGGAAATTTTCCTGAATATTCCGAAAAATTGATGGTTGCAATTACTCGTCGCTAAGTTTACAAAAAATATGGTGTATCCCAAATAACGTTAATTATTTTTTTTTAATACTAAGTGACGGTACGAACAAGTCGTGTGCTTGGTGGTAATCGACACGCCTGTCCCTAACAATGGCAGTGCCACTCAGAGTTTTAAATCACGAAGATCTGAGGGGCACTGGCACTGCGCCCGACACCCTGAGACATAAGTTGACAAGTCCCATGTTCTTGTAATTTCATCTTTAATGTACTAAAGTAATTTCCGGAATGCTGAATAGACAATAAAATGTTGCCATAAGGTCGTCTCCATTTTCTGTCTCGTTTCCTCGAAGTTTAGGTAGAAAACTCAACTATTCCGATCACTGCTGATAACGCATTAAATAAGCTGTAACTTAATTAGTTAATATCTAGTGAAATTTTAAAGTTTAAATTTTTTCTTCGCCACAGTTGCAATGTAACGTCATCGTCACCCTTAACATGAAAATTTACGAATAGCCCAAGTCTAGTTACGTTTGTTTCGATTTAGAAATTATATAGGTATTTATACTATGGGAAAAAGGCGTGAAGTATATGTATATATATACTAAAACAACAAAGAAAAGGAAAACATCGCGATGTTCCCTCCACGTCGAAGAAGTTTCACAACCCTCGGAAAACGTGTGAAATCCTTAACCCGCATGATTATTGATACAAAAATCAAACAAACACTAAGAAAAAATCCTTTGACGTCTGAACTCCAACCGGGTGTCTGTTGCCTCACCAGGAATTCTATAATATAATTTATATCTATACTGCTATAGCATACTGTATAGCACCACTACGTTATATATAAAATTTGTAATAATTTCAGATCACTGAACAAACAAATAAAAGACAAAAAAGACCATGAGAACAAACTTCGTGAAGATCTTCGACGCGATGCGGCCAAACTGACTGAATTGGAAAAAAAAATTGAAGAAACTACCAAGGAGATGGAACGACAAAGAATTGCCATTGATGAACATAACAAACAGTATTACGAATGCAAGAAGAAAAAGGATCAGGAGCAGAGTACAAGAAAGTCAGTATAAATTCAACTAAAACTGAAATAATGAAATACAGCAGCTCAATTGAACTTCATTTACAAAATATTCAATCAAAATGAAAAGCATGAATAAACTTTTTAGCCCAAAAATGACCGTAACAAATAATCCCTGTGTAAATAGATACAAAAAATGATAGATACAAATACAAACAAAAAATGCTACAAAATTGCCTTAATTGATTGCGATGATAAAAGTTATCAAAATATTGTTTACTTACTAGCAAAAAAAAATCATAATTATTAAGGATTTTTTGTTTCCTAGCTCATCACAGCACAATAACTACATACAGTAACTTACATGATCAATTTTAAGAAAACTTATTCTGCTACACAATACCTTGGCGATTTTGTCACATTTTTATGGGTATTCATTCCATCTATCTATTTAAATAGAATTTATACTTGAAGAAAACAACTATACATTTTGAAATAATATCAAAATGGCGGATATGAGCTATAACAAGCTCGATAGTAAAACCCTAAATAAAATATAAAATAAAAATAAATAAAATAAAATAAAATATGGGCTTAGTTCTCTATCTAAATATACATATTTGAATTTGAATGCCTTTGAAAGTATGCAAATTTGCCTTTGTTTACCATTTGTTTTTACATAACAGTGAACTGTGGCGTAAGGAAACCACCCTGACTCAGAACCTATCATCACTTAAAGAAGATTTGTCTAAAGCTGATCAAGCACTTCGTTCCATGGCAGGAAAGGTGAATAATTTACTAATATACTAAGTACGGCTGTGGTAAAACTATAAATATAAATTATGCGCGGTGGCCCCTAGATGATATCAGTTATCCACATGACATCATGTAGACGGACCTCGCGTTTAGATCTGCGTTTTTTTTGTTTTGAAAACTTCACCCTACTTTACAAGGAAATGTTATGTGTTTGCAGCCAATTCTGAACGGGCGCGACAGTGTCCGCAAAGTACTGGAGACTTTCCAGGAGCGCGGCGGCGAGTGGGCCAAGATCGCCACGCAGTACTACGGGCCTGTTATTGAAAACTTCACCTGCGACAAGACTATCTACACTGCTGTTGAGGTGAGCCACAACACTACCTAAACGCAGGGTAGTGGGCAGCCCAACTGGCACTTTCAAATCAAATCACGAGGTGATAACCAGAAGACTAAAAGGCTATGAGCTAGTGATGTAACCGACTTTTCCTTCTGCTTCCGTAACTGCGGAAGTTCCGCACGCTTTTTCACATGTGTTTCCATTTCTGTTTCCACAACATTTATTACTGAACTTTAAGCGGAAGTTTACAACGTTTGCGACGTATCTGGGTCTATTCCCGTTCTCCGTCTGACATCCGTCTGAAACGATTACTGTCAAATAAATAATACTCGATCAAATCAAAAGGCAATGCCCAGTGTGTAACTTCATTCGCATCACGCTTCTTTTAATTTGATCGGGTATTAATTATTGATAGTAATTGTTTTGGACGGATGTCGGACAAAGAACGGAAGTAGATCCCCAAGTGCTAGTGCGGTTTACTTCGTGCCCACCGCGCGTGTTTTTTAGTACTTTTGTGTAATAATTGCACTTAAAGTATGAAACTAAAAACGCCTTGTTCAGAACTATTTCGTTGAGTTTTTTATAGTATTTACACTTCCGCTTCCATTTCCGCTAAGATTTACTTTTGAAATCTGTTTTCGTTTCTGTTTCCGTTACGACACTTCCATTGCATCACTACTATATTACATATTGTCTTGTCTTATATACTCTGTTCTAAAAGAAATTACATCGTACAGGTGACAGCAGGTAACAGATTGTTCCACCACATTGTAGAATCCGATATAGTGGGCACCAAGATCTTAAAGGAGATGAACCGACAGAACCTGCCTGGAGAGGTCACATTTATGCCGTTGAACAGACTGCAGGTTCGGGATATGGTCTATCCTAATGACAATGTAAGTATTGTTGCAGTGTACGTCACGTTATCAGCCCTCAGAGGTCGACCTAATACAGTTTTAAATAATTAAGAGATTGTAAATAGGTTTTTATTGAATGTCAGGATGTTTCACCACCATGATATACAATTATTTTTTTGTGAAATTACTCCACTAAAAATTATTATTACAAAGATCGAACACTTGTCTTGCTGGATTCGAACCAACGTTTTCTAGCACTAACTAAACTTAATTGACATAGCGTCTGGCGCGGTTTGCTAGAAGATATTCGCTTGAATCCAGCCGGATCGAAGGATTTTTTTTCTAAATGTTCCATTTTTAAATTAACAATTAATTATTAATAGATTTATTAGTAGTTATATTATTTTACACCATTTAACCTTCACCTGGTGATACACGTCGCGTCCAACCGGTTAGTCTGGCAATCTTTGGGTGAGACCCATGTTTAGCAGTGGACGTCTTCCGGCTGATATAATGATGATGATGATGAACCTTCACTGGAACAGAGAAGCAAATTAATTTACTTCCAATTTTATTAATACAGTTTTCACAATGACAGTTCTTGACAATATAGTTCAATAGTGCACCAATAGATGGCACCACAAAACATTCCAATAGTTTTTATATTTGCAATCAGTTTGACATTAAAGAATGTAGAGAACGCAAATTAAGAAACAGTCAAAACAACATACTGCACAAATGTAATTCTTATCAAATGACAAAAAATGATATTTTTTGCACAATATACCTTAGGTGCTAAAGCGACTGCAACTGCATCAGAATATTGCATAGAATTCCGGTTAGGTTTAGATTTTACGACACAAATCATATATCACTGGTTTCCTCATGAATATATCCGTCATAATTAATAATAAAAACTTAGATGGAGTTCTGATGCTATGAATTTATTTTGTAACTTTTCTTGCGCCTCCATTAAAGTTGTCAACATAATAGTACAAATTACCACTCATTGCCACTCAACATCACTATAACTATTCCTCACATAAAAATGTCTGGGACATAAATTAGATACTTGAGACACCGATTGTACACGCCGCAATGTATATATTATAGCTTCGATGGCGAGACGCCATTTTAGACCACCGGCAGCGAGGCCACTTAAAAGTTTGAACCGGCTTTTTTGCTTGTATACATTGTTACAGTCTATTAACAATAGAAGAAGACCGTTTGGTCGAACAAAGTTATAAGTTTATTTCCTTACAGTTTATTTTCGTATTGTCTCAAAAAATACTTCACGTTCGTTGAACTGCGGTGACACTAGAAATCCTTAACTCACCTCTAACCATTGTGAGAGACCGTCATCCGTATATCCTTTTCAAAGGACACTACACATTCGAGTTCTCTTCGAGTTCGAGACGTGGCCTATTACTTTATATAACACATCTATTGCGCATTCGTGGTACTTGCATTGACAACTGAAGTAAATATATTCGCCTTGAGACCACTTATCTTGCTAAATTAAGTCGACGGCATTGATAACGCACCACTCACGGAAGAATGGCAGTAAGTGGAGTTACTTCAAACATGTTTATTGCTCCATTAGATACAGAAAAATATAACCCACATCGTTTCCAATTCTTGTTACTCTTCAATATTAGTCAATAGAATTACAAGAATTGGAGAGGATGTGGCTTATATTTTTCTGTATCTAATGGAGCAATAAACGTTTTTGACGTAATTCCACCTATGCCATTCTTCCATGAAGAGTGCGATACATTCATACCAATTTTATTTTCATTACAGAATGCCATAGCTATGGTACAGAAGCTGAAATACGATGCAAAGTACGCGAAAGCTATGAAGTACATATTCGGCAAGACACTCATCTGTCGTAACTTGGAATGTGCCACGGAACTAGGCAAGCAGTTCCATCTCGATTGTGTCACTTTGGAAGGAGACCAGGTATTTTTTTTTAATACACACACATTCATAATTAGTTGATAAATCAATGATCTCATACGCCAGATATTATTTACTTTCATAGTAATCGACGTTTGAAATCTGTTGCGTAGCCTATAGAAACTTATTTTAAATGTTACACGTCAAGCGCATCACCGGGGCGTAGATTGTGATTTTGTCAAACAGAATGAACATTTTGAAAAGTCGGTAAGAAGCATGGATCAACTACTCAAAGGAACTCCTAATCACGATTCAAGACCTTTCCTATTTCTGCCGCCAAGCATTAATGTCAGCATTACTGTGTATCGGTTTTGAAGGGTAAGGGTGTTGGTGAAATTACAGGCATATAGTACTTGTCAACTTATGTCGCAGAGTGACGGGCGTAGTGGCAGTGCCCCTCAGATCTGTGCGATTGAAAGCTTCTGAGTGACACTGTAATTGTTATGGACAGGCGTGTAGCTTACCATCAGGTGCAGGACCGTCACTTGATATTATTAAAAAAAAGACTGCTTAGTCGGGTATTTAGTATTTATTGGTACACCAGATGTGGCGACGAGCACCAAATAGCTATTTTTGTAACTAATTTGTTTTACATTGACGAGCTGCTGTCGCCACTTTGTAGTTTTGGATTTAGACTAGACTGTAATACCTACGTAGCTGGTTCAAATATTCTCAATGTAGTTATTGAGGGACGACAAAAGATACTTAATTTATAGGTATACATATAAGCGTGTAGAAAGACACTGAACCATGATAAAAATGTTCATAACACTACATTGTGCTATGTCGAGGAACCGCAGAGGTGTGCCTCGTATATCGCGTACAAACCCCCAGCACATCAAAATCGGCTCTCTTACAGTTATCGACCCTCAGATTACATTGTTTACTCTTTCCTAAATATACAAATCTATGAATTTGGTAAAGAAGTTTAGGTTGATTTCGTATTAATAAGTAATTTAAAAAACTTACCGATCAATCTTCTTACGGTAAGAGCAGTGTCCACGTTTAAAGAATGCATTCCTGCCCCCGCTCACGCCCCGCAGACCGCTAAACTGTTTGTAAAAAATATTACAAATACATAAAAGAAACCATATTACAGGTGTCATCAAAAGGCTCCCTGACCGGCGGCTATTTCAACCAATCACGATCTCGCCTTGAAATGCAGAAAACACGCTCAGAGCTCATGGACCAAATAACTTCATTGGAACAGGAATTGAGTACTTTAAGACAGGAACTTAATAAAACCGAGACTAGTATCAACTCTATAGTCTCTGAGATGCAACGGACAGAGACTAAACAGGGGAAGGCTAAGTAAGTTAATTATTATTATTTATAATATTATTAGGATACTGGTGAAATTAGTCATGTAAGACTTGTCAACTTATCTCTCAAGATGACGGGCGTAGTGGCAGTGCCCCTCAGATCTTTGCAATTTAAGTTCTGAGTGACACTGGAACTGCTATGGACAGGTGTGTCACATCACCAGGCGCACGACTTGTTCGTCCCGTCACTTGGTATCATAAAAAGAAAAAAATTACCTTAGTTTAAGTCCAATTTTCAGTTATAGCTTTAATTCATAGTTTCAGTGCCTTGTTATACTTTACTCAAAATGGCTATTACAAACACTTTTTAATTCTAATCTCTAAACATCATGGAAAGGTCAAAGCGCTACTTAGAGCGAAAATTAGTTATACTAGTGCATCAATGCTTTATCTTATATTATTACATCATCTATCCATGTTTAGGAAAGATCACTTCATTATTCCGATAATCCGCCACTTTTTCGTAGTGCATTCTAGATACTCTATATGGCGCTTTCAACTGTTAACCTTTTCCCTGACAATATGCATTAAGAGGAAACTTATTTACTCTTCAGGGACATATTTGACAAAGTAAAGGCAGACATTCGTCTAATGAAGGAGGAGTTATCATCGATCGAGCGTTTCCGCGGGCCCAAGGAACGTTCGCTGGCGCAGTGCCGGTCCAGTCTCGAGGCCATGCAAGCCACCAAGGAGGGACTAGAGTCTGAGTTACACCAGGTGATTTCTGAAATTGAAATTGATGACCTTATTTGAATTCGTGATTGTAATCAAAAGTTTTATTTTTTAATACAGTTAGAACGCGTTCAATAAAATACTTGTGGCTGCAGTGCCGTTGCAGCCGCCCAGTAGTTCCATATACCCAGTTCCACGTGGAACAATTGTAACCTTAATATGTCATATTTATTCCTAGTTTTACACCTGCCTTTCCGCGCCACTACTAATTTTCATAGAATATTTAAACGCTCTGCTGCAGCGCCGCAGTCGCGGCACGCGCGCTCCACTTTTGCAGTCACAATAAAACGTGAAACACTTATCGGGCGCTTGTCGGGTCGGGTGTACGGCGGGTGTAATTCCGTGTATTTTTTAAATCAATAAAAAGTGTAACACCCATGATGAAGTCAGAAACTAAAAAAATACATGCGTTATTTTAAGGCACTACATGTATAGTCCTATGTAGTAAATTAAACTGTATGAAGACGCCTATATGTAATAATAATTTAAAAATCTAGAATTTTCATGAATTAACTATACGTCAAGATATAGACGTGCTATGCACCCGGTTCCAAAATATCGAAAATAAAAATCGAACTGCAAATCTTTCCAGGAACTAATGGAGCAACTATCAACCGCGGACCAGGGTAAAGTAGACGAGTTAAACGACGCCATCCGTCGGCTCACGCAGGAGAACAAAGAAGCTTTCTCTGCCCGTATGAACCTAGAGGCTACCAAGAACAAACTCGAGAATCTCCTCACTAATAATTTGATACGGTTAGTTTTTTATTATGTAAAGAAATTGGTATGCAAAAGGAAAGGTACCTTGCCTTACAACTTTAGCTAACTAAAAGTAAATTGTAATTAAGTTGGATCTCAGATGTACAACCTTGGCCAAAAATATTGAGCACCCTAAGAATGGCGAACATGTACAATAAGTATTGCAGAAAGCAATAATAAGCTGATTTTATGCACGAGGTGTGTTGGGTCGTTGTTTTTAAACCTTTTAGATGCCGAAAGAAGAACAATTTAACAGACGACCTGTTTTCTACAATACTTATTGTGCACATTGGGGATCCTTAGGGTGCTCAATACTTTTGGCCAAGGCGGTATAACATTTTAACAAAGGCAAATATGGCTCTTTTTTATCTATAATAAACACTCAGAGGACTTAGAGGCGCCGTTCCTTGTAGTTTATTTTTATGTAAAACGTTTTGCTCTTTTGCAGTCGTAAAGACGAACTAGTGCAAGCTCTTCAAGAAATCTCAGTGGAAGACCGAAAACGCCGGTTGGCGAATAGCAAAGCGGATCTCGCTGCTGCAGAGAAACGAATCAAGCAGATTAACAAGGAAATGGAGGATGTAGAACGAAAAGTGCAGGCCGCTGTTAAGAACGAGAAGGCTTTGAAACTCGAGCTCGATAAGTGGCGGAATAAGGTACAAATCATCATCTTCCAGCCGACATTACCCACTGCTGTCACACTGGCTGTCACCGTTTTCACCATGCACCACGATCTTGTGCTGATCTCACTTATTTACAATGTGTAAACATTGTTTATTTATTGAATATCATGATGTGTTACTACCATGATATTCATATACTTTTTTATGAAAATACTCCACTAATTTGTTATTATTATTGTTTTCACTCAACCAAGTACCTTTACATAAGTTATATATACATTATAAAGGCTGACACAGCGCGAATCCTGACAAATTTCTCTTGCTTCATCCATCAAGCTTTTCAAACAATTCCTCATACAAATAAAGTATTACTTATAAATATCAGTAAATCTTACTCAAAGCTCCTGACGACCTGGGCGGCCCAATGACTTGGGTTCGATTTCTGGTACACCAATTTGGAATATGGATTGTTCTAAATCAGTTCTTTTCTGTGTGTTCAGGGTGCTTCGGAGTTAATTCCGTTGCTACGATACTCCTAAGTACAGGGAATTCCCTATAGTTCATTTCACATAGCATGGATACTGTGACGTTTGAGATTTTAAGTTTCTAGAGATGTAGTGACGTAAAATCCAATTACAAAATTCGATATTTTCGAAAATCGATTCTCTCTTCCTTTCAAATTATTTCGATACAAAGAGAGAATCGATTTTGATATCTTGTCGAAGATATTAATACCTTGGCGTGATCATTTGTAACGAAGAGAGTATCAAAATCGGTTTGAGATAATAATTTTAAGAACAAATAATAAACAGAATAAAAAGGATTCAATTATTATGTAATTAAGATCAGGTAATTGGTGTGATGGCCTGGCACAATATTATTATAAATATTATTTTACCAACTCGATTAATTACACGTATCATAATTAACAGGAAAAAGAAGCTCAAGACAAAATGGAGGAGGACGCAAAAGGCTTAGAGAAGATGGCGTCAAAGGAAGTGCTCCTCCAGGAGAAAATACAGGAGTCTTTGGACAAGATCGCTGCACTCGGCACGTTGCCCAACGCACCCGATCTCCATAATAAGTACTCGAAGATGTCTTTGAAACAGGTATTTGTTCATCAACAATCCAAATACCTTTCTTTGTTGGGCACGGGTCTCCTATAAGGACAATGTTCAGCTTTACACACACGCGCCCTAGCGACTGTGGTTTGCGCAAGTTTGAAGCACAACTGTAACTGTCAAAGTCTCGGCGACAATAAGATCTGTTCAGACCGCTGTGGGTAGCGAAAAATACCGCGCGCCATCCCGCCGGGTATTTGTATGAAGTTCCGCGGCTACAGCGAAACCGGAATACCGCGTCGTACCGCCCAGGTAGGCGGTATATTTTATTAGTTGCTACTGCTCCCACTCTATGCGGCGACAGGAGCAGTAGCAAATTCATCCCTCCGCATACCAGTTAGTGACGACTAGTTGACATAATTTTAACTGGGATTATATATATATGTATATTATATATATATAATAGTGTATAATTGCGGTGAGTGAGGTGATTTCTTAGTTATAAACTTAATTAGAAACTGCATACTGCGGTGTTCAGAGCGACAAATATATGTATTTATACAGGCTGTATATTTGAAAGTGGGACATACATATAGAGTGCGCTATATTCCTGATTCCGAACCCATAGAAATAATAAACTAATGAACTTAAAGTTTACAAAAAAAAAAAAATTTTTTATCGACTACTACTTGTGAACAACATTACACAACAAGACTTATCGAAATCTATGCACATCACTATTATTGCTCCGACGAAACGGAGAGCTGCGGCACGGCGGCGAAAATCAAAGCACAAATAATTAGCATAACCTAAAACGTAATCATTTCGATAACAGCTTTTTTCATCATAACAAATATGCGTAGGTAAGTAACTTTGTTTTTATTTTCTAGAGAAATGAGGTGCTTTTAGTAGGAAGGGAGATGTGAAATCATTGTTATTGTTGCTGTCTCACTCGGCGCTCGCTATATTTCGGCGTATTCCCATTGCACTCGAAATCAAGCGTAAAGGGAATAGGTTTATTCCTATGTACACTCCAAAACAAATTTGTTGATTTAGTTTTTGTTCTATTCCATATCCTAATTTTATTTTAGTCTATATTAAGTTGTAACATGATTTACTATGACATGTATGAATATGTCTCACTTTCAAATATACAGCCTGCACACAATGTGAAGCCTGAAAACCAGCAAATTGCTGAGGCTGTTACCTTTTCTTCAACACGTTTAGATTTCAAGCCACTATTTTAAGTTTTTATGTATCGTTGTAGTGTTGAAGAATAGTCTTTTTATTATTTTATTTAATAATAATAAATAACGGATTTGGCTATCCACAGTGGTAGCGATATACGTTTAGGTGTCAATAGTGGGAATACCGCGTATTTCATCACCCACTCGTTATCCTCTACTCACAGCGGCAGCGAATTACGCCTATATCTGAAGGAGCCTTAATTTGGAATGGAAAGATATTTGGTGCCAAAATTATATCTTACTCTCTGTATGCACCGAATACTTCGCATTTATCCATACAAATGGACAAATCTTGTAAACCGCACGATCTATTTTGAATAAGAGCTGAACTTCAAACCATAGAGTATGAAGTACTTCATACACTAATATTTTGATATATTTTTTTATAATAACACACACTCAACCTAGCCTCACACTAGGGAAACTCTGTGTCGCGGGTGCCATGGACACACACATAGACAACCACAAATTACACCCAAACTCACGAGAGAAATAAATGTAGGCCATACAAATATTTCTACCGGCACTGGAATCGAACCTGGGACCTCTGCGTGGCAGTCCATGGTAATGGTAACCGTTCGGCCACGGAGACAGTTAAATAATATAATTTTTACAGTTGTTCAAAGAATTGGAAAAAGCGAACCAGCATCTGAAAAAGTACAACCACGTGAACAAGAAAGCATTGGACCAGTTCATCAGTTTCTCTGAACAGAAAGAAAAATTGTACAAGCGAAAAGAGGAACTGGATGTTGGGTAAGTACAGCCTGTTTGCATTTAAGGCATAGTGCGAGACGAGAATAACCTGTACTGATTAGTGCTGCCGAGCCAAACACACAACTTTTCACCTCACTAGCGAGGAATATGGTAGATAAAAGAAAAACAGTTCAACTATAAAACATCAGTTTTTTTTAATTAAAATAAAAGTTTATCTTCGGATGCGTTGTGAATTTACACCTCATCAATTTTTATTCTTGCTTGTATTTTTTTGTGTGATTCAGTGATTGTTGACTTTATTTTAGTTCTTCGTTGAATTAAAGTAATTTAATAAACACAATTAGTTATCATTGTCAATTTAATGTCAACAATAAAGAGAATAAAATATACCAACGGATTTATATTACATAAACAACTAATGTACGACAAATCGCGTAGTTGAACGTGTCTTAGGATCGTATTCCAGAACTCTACTCAATGCTCAAGTCAGGATTTGAGCAGACTTGAGTATGATTTCTAGTGCTTTGAATCATACTCAAGTCCTGACTTGAGAACTGATAAAGTTCTAGAATACGACTTAATCCTTAATCTTTTTTTTTTCATCGAAAGAAAATGCTATTTGTACTACAGTCCAGCGTCAAGTTCGAATTTCAAGACCTTTTTCCACGCTAGCGTGCAAATAACGTTTTTGCGAGCAGAATTCTAATGAGAATGAAAGCCTTTCCGAGCTAGTAAGGTGAAAAATAAATTCTGAAATAAAGCCAGTGGCCCTGCCGTTCGACCCAAGCAAAATGAACCGTATTAGTACGGGAAAAAATTGGATTCGAGCTGAGGTAGTATCGGATATTAAATTAAAAAAATTCATATAAACGTAATTTGTTTCATATATTCGTATTATTTTTATGACTCATGTGATACAAGCATTTTTGACTTATGATCTTATATGACTTAGTTATACTAAGGACACAATTTGTTTTATTTGGTTTCGAAATGTAGTTAACATTTCAGTTAAAGCAAAAAAAAAAAGGTAAAGTACAAGTGACACTTAAGTTTTAAATAAATAGTCTATATTATGTTACTCTTTTGACAAGACGCTATTTAATTTAGCGATGTGCGACTTTGAATGTTACTAATATTAATCATTCGAATGGGCAAATCATTCACCTAAGTCGAATCTAAGCACAATCATTCGACTCGAGTTGAATTATTGTCGAATGATTATTATGGCGAAACTACTCGGAACCATTCACCATGTCCATACCAATAAAAAGGGGCATTTTCCCCGTCACATTTACGGTATTTACCTATGCCAGAGACGGCTAGGCAGAAATGTTCTATGGAATCTATGGATTAGTAATGAATGATAATTCAAATCATTCCAATACGAAAATTAGCACTTTTTTTTCACTCATAGCTTGCACCCTGTATCGTGGGTGCCATGGTCACATACCTAGACAATCATAAATTACCCCCAAACTCACGATATAAATAATTGTAGACCATACAAGTATTTCTCCCGACCAGGGAATCGAACCCAGGACCTCTGCGTGGCAGTCCAGTAGGATAACCGTTCGGCCACTGACGCAGTTATTACAATTTTTTTTAAATTAGTAGATTACTAATTTGTCAGTTGAATGACGGGATTAGTAATTACTAACGAGTCGAATATCGATATCATTCGTAATCGCGCATCGCTATTCTAATTTATCCGTTTACCGGTTATATTAAAGTTATTAACAGTAATTTGTTTTATGATATTTGAATAAATAACGTCTGAAGCAATTTCCGCGTAAAGATAATCCCAATGGTTAAACGATTCAATATAGTTTATAAACTTCACGTTGGGCAATTTTTCTATCAACACTTCAACATCTGCACGATCCGATAACCAGTCGTTTCCGCTGTAAAACAATGACACGGGTATCGTAATACGCCTTAAGTCGTAATCTGGAGGTGTTGTATCGTTGTACCTTTCCATGTTTCTTTTTAACCCATAGTCGTAACGCCGGAAACGGCCAGACTCCACCAGTTGTCCGTAGTGCATAAATTGCATCGTAGAAGAACTACTAGGTATATGACCTAATACAATCGGCAACATAGTTTTATTAATAAACTTATGGTCATGTCCCACTATCAACCTCATCAGATTGTCGCATTTATTTGGTAATACTGTACAAAGTGATAGAGCAAACTTATTAAAGAACTCCGTGGTCGGCGAATACGTATTGAAATTTGATAAGAAATAACCTAATATTTTATAAGCTGGTGAAAACATTCTTACTATAGGACTTTTTACGTTTTTACACCAAGCAACTGGAGCTAGCGAAATCATCATTTTTATTTTCTTATTATATTCCGGTCTCATACTGTTCATGACGTAAAAACTGGTTGTTCCTTGTGAGTGGCCTATGTAATACAACTGCGAATTATTCGTTACATTCAAAATGTAATCAATCATGGCCGTCAAATCATAAATTCCTATTTCTTCCCAAGTGAATTGCCAAAACTTAGATTCACGAGGCTTTAAATATTCGTGTGATAAAGAATATTTATTCCCTCTTGCGTTCCCCATCCATATGTCGTATCCTTTATCTGCGAGGATGTATCCAAGAGACTTGTTCGGGCCTTGTAATATCCAAGTATCTGAAGAATCTACAAGGCCATGCATAAGAAAAATAACTTCACTCGTGCAATTTTCTTTACATGGTATACGATGCAAGGTCAGGATATACTTATCTTCGGTCGTAACATTGTGTTCTTCGAAAGGACGCTCGTATTTTGCTGTTAATTCTTTTATATTCAAATATGCATCTTCTGGAATAGGTGTTGTAGAATTACTATCTTTTCCGGGATTGTCACTAAGTACAATATTGAATATCTCCTTTATACCGCTCACAACACTACTGATATGGGTAAAGAAGTAGAAGATTCCATCACTAACACTTTCAACGTCAAATATTTCTGTGGACGCCAAGACGTTTGCGGTCACCGGTATCAGAAGTAGACACAAATAGAAATAAAACATTTTTACAATCCGTCATGGATAATTGTTAAGCGTTAAGTACGAAATATCGTTGAACATATATATTTTTTCTTACAACATTAACCTGGATTTAATACATTTATCCTCAATTGCAGTGGTCTTGACATGTATTCGGATTAGTTTAACGATTAACTGTTCTGGATTGTCGACCGAGTCAATTAACTTATCTTCGTTTAGGGCCTTGTGACACAACCGATAAGCGACAATAGACGGACGTCGTAGCTACAACGCCCATGCTACAATACCGATTTGTATGATATGAGTTAATAATGTTTTGTAATCTATGTAGTCGTAAAAAAGTAAAGTTTATAAATATGAAGTAACAAGATAGTTCCAGTGCCAGCGTAAAGTTAAATAGCTGAAGTAAACTTCAAATACTATAACAATCACTAACATTATGCATAACTATCAAAGCTGTCTACCAAGCTGAGATAAAATCTCAAGAAGGTTAATAATGTACTAAGGGTCGTATTCCGGAACTCTACTCAATGCTCAAGTCAGGACTTGAGTATGATTTAAAGCACTAGAAATCATACAGTCGTTGCCATTACGGTCGTATTTCCAGTGCTTGAAATCATACTCAAGTCCTGACTTGAGCATTGAGTACAGTTCTGGAATGCGACCTTTAATTTTATATTTAACAGTTTTTGAAAATTAGGAATCTGTAATATGCTAGGTAAAATTTTCATCACCCAATTTTGACAGTTTGTGTATATCGAGTTAACTGAATACCCCAGTTCAGTTTTTTTAAACAGGTTTTGATGTTCTTATTTAAACACGCTTGACGAAGAATGCTGACAAACCTGATATGAACACACTTAAGTTAACATGCAGTGCCTAAAGCATGCTGACTCACAGTGTTCAACCTTTAAAAAAGCGAACTGAAATACATATTGCCCCCTAAAAAACCATTTTTAAGTTTTTCTTCAAATGTAGTAGAAGAATATCTCGCGTCTCTCGACCAGCAATGCGTTTGCCATATTAAGGGAAATATACTAGTCCGAACACAGAAAAACTTTATGCCCAAGTACTTTTGGGTAATTTTCAGAAAAATTTCATTAAGTAGCAATTTTTTTAGGAAAAATTTCCGAAAAATTGGAAAAATATAATTTGGAAGGCTCATATTATGTTGTACGTTTAGAAATATCTTTTGAATAGGAAATGAAACTATTTTCCGAATTTAAACAGCGTATATTTGTTTTTTCAAACAAACCGACGTTTCGGGCCCTTTACAGGTCCCGTAGTCACGGTTGACTGATCATGTCATATATATATTATAGTCAAAAACAAATATACGCGATTTAAATCCGTAAAAATAGTTTCATTTCCTATGTGTAACAATCGTAAAAACCTAAGAACTCAATATCTTTTGAAGTTTTATTTTGAATTATAGCATAAACTTGTATAGTTAAAAGCCACACGATGAAAAACGATATTAAAAATTATTTCACAACGGCGAATAAAACTCCAACAACCACACCATCACATCGTTTTTGTTAAGTGACTTCAACTTTTGACAGGTGTCAACGTCAACATTTGCGTTCTGCGTTAGCGGCCCGAGCGGAAACGAAACGGGCACCGTCTTTTTCGCTATTATTTCATGGGCATACAGCCGTTTCCGCATTAATAAATGTGGTGACTCCCTTGAGACACTTTCCATCAAATGAACCGTCGCATTGTTTGCCAGTTTGAACATTATAAAAATTAACTTCACCATTATTAACTAAAGCTGAAAACGTCCTTTATCCACAGTGGCGAGAAAATCCGAGAACTGATTGAGACATTGGAGCACCGCAAACTTGAAGCCATCCAGTTCACTTTCAAACAAGTGAGCAAGAACTTCACCGAGGTTTTCAAGAAGCTCGTGCCGCAGGGACGCGGCAGTCTTATCATGAGAGTCGCTTCGGAAGACGAGGTTGTCAATCCTGATGTAAGTATTTACTAATTATAGTTTTAGAAAAGAGCGGTGATAGCATAGTTGGGAGAAAGAATTCTTATGACCACATATGAAACTGACACACAACAGACCACATAATGGCTGCACCACTAAGTTTTTTCGGTACATTTTATTAAATAGAAGTAGATATTTAAAAAAAAAAATTATAACCTTTAAGATAGGCACTAGGCTTCGTCAGTAGGTGCTAAAATTAAAAAAAATCTTGGGATTTACAATAGATTTCGTCAATTGAATTACCATGATGTTTTACTACCATGGCTGAGTGAAGAAACTTCATTTTCTCATAGATGGCGCTGACGGCAAAAAAGCTATTTAAACCCAATACAAAGATATGTAACAAGAACATAGAAAATTCATAAGATCGGCTGACTCGGTCTGTAGCTCAGTTTGTAAGAGCGGTAGCCCCGGCGTGACACAAGGCACTGGTTATAGCCCAGTCAGATCTAAGGGATTTTTCTTTGTGTTGTTCGAAAATTTTTATTAACTATATTAGAAATGTAACATAATTTGTAGACACATTTTAAATGCTTGCACTAAGCTGGTAGGACAATATCAATAATGTCACTGGGCGCCCGAGTGCTAATTTTCTAGAAACAACAAGTCATTTTAATTCCATTGAGACATCACTTATTAGCACAAACAGTACATTGCAATTATGACAATATTTGTTATTCTGCTAAAATCTAGTTGCAATTTCAATTGAGTCTCAATAGAGTGTCATTGGATTGGCAGTGATGGCATTCATTCATTCAGTCAATAACGTTCAATGTTGCCTTACTAAAACTGGTAACCTAATTTATCACAAACTCGAATTTTGTTTCCGAGATAACATTTGTTCGAATTTTAATTACACCGAAATACAATGAAACCGTTGTTCTTTCAGGATATGCTAGATGTTTATCGCAAAGACACGATTAGGTTCGGTTAGGTTTAAAAGAAAAAACATTTTCCTCTCAAAATTATTTTTGAAGATTTGAAAATTCGAGCAAACGTTATTTCTGGAAAATGTTATTTCGGACTACTGATAGGTAACCCTAAAACTACTATGGAAATTACTATGCTTATCTTCATTTTTATGTCGTTTAATCAGCAATTATTATTGTTTAATCAACTACCTCCGTGGCCGTACCACTATGTCGGACTGCCACGCAGAGGTCGCGGGTTCGATTCCCGTGCCGGGAGAAATATTTATATGGCCTACATTTATTTATCTCGTGAGTTTGGGTGGGTAATTTGTGGTTGTCTATGTGTGTGTCCATGGCACCCGCGATAAGGGTTTCCCTAGTGCGGGGCTATGTGTGTGTGTGTGTGCGTCATAACAAAAAAAAAGTCTTCAAAATAAATATATACAATATTAGTAGACTACACGATTGACGTGCTGTCTACTCGCCATTGAAGTGTGAAATACCAAAGAATTGCAATGACAGTAGAAAAGTAGCTCGATGGCTAGCCTCTGACAAGCGACTACACTTTATCAGAACACTAAACGAGCAAAATCCTGCCATTGACACTATCGACACGTAACTGAGGTGATTCAAAATTAGCAAGCTTGGGGCAAAGGTGGTAGGTTGATTGTCGGAGATTTATATATAGTCTGTTTCAGTCCATTTTAAACAAAAAGTAAACAAAACTGTTTGGGTAAAATTCTACAGCAATCACTAAATAAATGGAATAGGTAACACTTTCACGTATATTTCGAAGATTTCGACTTGATATCTCATCACTTTTTCCAAAAATATTCATTTGAATAGCGTCGTAAAATCGTATTTGAAAAATGGAAGCCCAATAGTGGGGTTATTTTTTAACTATACAGCTTAAAACTATGTGACTTGCCTACGGTTACATAGTGCTGTACTTAAAAAAACATTTGGTTCATTCAATTAAAGTTTTTGTAACCGATTAGTAAATCGAAAATTACGATCGCAATCGAACGAGTATCTAAAGTTAAAGATTTCAAGGAGAATTTAAAATTAAGAATTTGGAAATTTTAAATATGCTTCTATATGTTATGTACGTAAAACCGCTAATCGATCGATTTGTAGTTGGCATTACAATTGGCCATCGCTAAACCATCTATAGTCGGGTTAGTGATTTGTTTCTTTACTCTTTGTTTAAAATGGATTGAAACGAAGTATACATCCTAATCATGTTGTTGCAGCGTACAAACGCCGATCAATTCGCGGGTGTGGGCATCAAGGTGTCATTCACCGGCGGCGAAGGTGACATGCGAGAGATGAATCAACTATCCGGAGGACAAAAGTCGCTTGTCGCTCTTGCACTCATCTTCGCTATACAGAAGTGCGACCCGGCGCCGTTCTATCTGTTTGACGAAATCGATCAGGTGAAATCTCTTAATTTAATTAGTTATCAGAATTTGTATTCGAGAATTTGCTAATCGTTAATTCTCGATTTTTTTTTTAAATAATTAGTAATTAATAGATTCAGGCGTTACTTTGCGGAAGTACAATTTTTCAAATAATAAGTGAAGGGACGAACAAATCGTGCGCTTGATGGTAAGCTAGTTACACGTCTATCAATAACAGTTGCAGTGCCACTCAGAGCTTTAAATCGCAAAGATCTGAGGGGTACTACCAATACGCCCGTCACCCTTAGACATAAGTTGACAAGTCCCATGTGCCTGTAATTTCACCAGCACCCCTTGTCTTCAAAACTGGAACACAGTAATGCTGACATTACTACTTGACGGCAGAAATAGGTAAGGTGGCATTACTTCCCTGGACGAACTCTTTCACAAGGGGCTCTACTGCTACTTAATATACCAATTAGACTTTTAAAGATGGTACTGTACAACGCGGGGGCCAAAAGCCAATAACAAATGTACTTCGAAATGACAAGTAACTGACTTAAAGCCGGGTACTCACCAGCGAGCTGCAACCGTGACCGTTGTATGTTATGTTACCAAGAATCATAGTGTGTACGTGGTTCGCGAGCTTGCCGCAAGCTGAACGCGTGCGGTTCGCAGTGAGCCGACAATATCCAGGTACTCATTCTAGCGAGTGAAGACTGTTTCCCGCGTACACACTAGAACCTCGTTACTGTATCCATCCCGTTACAGTTACAGCTCGCTAATGAGTACCCGGCTTTAGAGTGTTGAAAAATTTGGATTTTTGAGATTTTCGTGGTTATTCACCTAAATGATACGAATATCGGGAGATCAATAAAAAGTCATATTGGAGTAAAAATAATCTCAGTACAGAGAAAAAACCGACCTCAAAAGTTCGTAGAATTACATCTATTTGCCAAGTTTTATTGAAATCGGTTACCGGAAAGTGCGCGAAACCGGATTCATCCCTTAGTTTGCCACTCTTAGAGATGGAATATTTTCTTCAAATTTGAATGGGACCAATACTAAGGTACCTTTCTTTCTAACATACAAAGAATCATCAAAATCGGTCCACAAACGCGTAACGCATACAAATAACCCCTCGTTTCAATCGTTGACGTAGTTAAACTTATCGTGAATTTTCTATTGATACCTTGAAAAGTTTAGAACTTAATTTCTGCCCTCGCTGTCATGAGTAATGCATTTTGATAACTTTCCAGATATTGGTGCCTAAAGTTTATTTTAAAGTGACAATTACGCACGTTTTTAAAATCGTACGCCTTTCTGGCCCACCCTGTAGTATGTTGTAAACTCAATTTCGTTAAAAATGTCGATTACGTTGCATATTTTAACATTCTCTTTTTTTTTTCTCCAGGCTCTCGACGCCCAACATCGTAAAGCCATCGCGAACATGATCCACGAGCTATCATCATCAGCACAATTCATCACAACCACATTCAGACCGGAATTGTTGGAACACGCACACAAATTCTACGGTGTTAAATTTCGTAATAAAGTTTCACACGTCGAGTGTGTCACTAGAGAGGAAGCCAGGGATTTCGTCGAGGACAGCACTACGCATGGATAAGTTTTTTTAGGTTTTAGTTTTGAGACTTATGTTTTTAACGCAAAATGTTCAGACAATTTTTGATGTGGGCTAATGGTCGTAGTAACAATCCTTGCTATGGCGTGGTGTTTATTATGTTATGTAATTTTATTTTGCGATTAAACTTCGAAAATTCAACATTACCTTCTCTAGGTGTACGTGTCATTTTTAAATACAAAAATAATTCAGTTATAATTGTTGTTGGTCACTTGTCTGTCTGCTGAAAACCCATACTAATATTGAGTTTGACAGCTTTAAGACAGAAGTTAAAGTTTTTATGTAATTATTCTTCATTATTGAATAAACTTCCATTTGAAATGAATATTTGTAACTAAATTCCAATAGTGCCTATCAATTTGTCGGTTTTGACACCCAAATTTTTTTTTGTACAATTTTATTCCATATAATAATTTCGTTTTATTTAATTTTAGTATGTAACAAATAATATTGGGCAAAATGTAATTAAAACTACAAAACTTTGAATAATTTTGTACTTGGACGACATTTTTACCAAATTTGCCGTTGAGCGTGTTATTTGACTACAAACTACTTAAAAGTACTAATTGGTTTGTGGTTAAACTTTTGCTCATCACTAGTTCATAATATGGTCGTAATATCTTGAGGAATTTGAATACACGGAGAACATCTAAAACCTTAGAGGATGGAAAAAAGGAATCTGTAATCTGAGTGTAGAGTACTAAAAAACCGACTTCAAAAGTTCGTGGAATGACATCTGTTTGCCAAATTTTATTGAAATCGGTTACCGGACAAGTACGGAACAAAGACGGTAACAAGGTTCATCCCATACTTTGCCATCCTTAGAGATTTAATAGGACAACGACCCGGGGTTCCCTCTTTCTAACAAAAAAGAATAATCTAAATCGGTTCACAATATCGCGTGACATACATACAAAAAGCATGCAGTGGAACCTCTCCCTTTTTTGAAGTCGGTTAAGAAAGGAATCTATTCAATTGCATCAATATATTTTCGACCTTAAAATTTCGAAGACATGTTACATTCGTCAATGCGCCCAATAAGTGTCCAATTTTTTGTCGTTTCTTACATTATAGTTGTAAATGGTTAGGGAATGACAAAATATTACGATGGTTATTATAGTGTACTGAGGAAATGTAGCATTGTGGTAATTTATAATTTGACATTTTGTAGATATACTTTGACATTTGTGCGGCCGCCAGATTATTTAACAAAATTATTATTTACTAAAAAGTTATTATTTGATAAAATGTGTAAAAATAACTTTTAGTAAATAAGGCTCAATTTACATTGCCAAGGAACGGGACGGAGACGAATTTATAGTACATAACATAATGATCTTTATGTCAAATGTAACGTATGAACTAGATACAATACGGTAGCTACGGGAAAATATTTTTTGGCTCGTATCTACCTACACAAACTGGCAAATTTAGCAGAACACTAGTAAAAACTCTAAATAAAGCAGTTTTTTCAAAAGACTCCGGTTATTTTTATTTGTCCCATTAATTTGTTTTATGTAATCAATGTTAAAATTTTACAATTTTTAAGTTTTCAACTGTTTCTTTTTCACAAAAAGTAAAAAACGATTTTTGTTAAATAAACCTTTAGTAAGGCTGTTCTAAGCGACATTATAATTATAACGTGATAATGTGACGTGATAATTGGTACTTATATCCTTATTTATTTAAATGTAAACGTAATCACTTTATATTCTCATTCTTTTTTGTTCCGCTAAATATGTGCCGGTGTTTGTAGTTTGTACGTTACACAATTGACATCCTTTCCTTACAAAAATTAGCTTCCATCCCGTCTCGCAGCAATGTGAATTGAACCTCAGGATGAATTTGCGGATATATGTATGTAGTGAATACTATATTTTGATTATTAAATGTAAGCTAAGTAATAAATTGTCAATTTATAAAATTAACGTTTTTCATTAACACATTGTGTCGAGGGTTCAGAGGCACCGCCACTGCACCCGTCACCCTAAGACACAAAGTTGACAAGTTCCACATGGCTGTTGTTTCACCAGCAGTCTTACCCTTCGACATCGGAACGCAGTGGCATTACTGCTTGGTGGCAGTATATCCTTGGACAAACTCTTTCACCCGGGCCTTATTCCAACGTGACCGAAACCAGATTTACTCGTTACGCCGCACAGTGGGCCCAAATCGATAATTCTTGGACATAGGAATAACTTGTGGAGTATCGAGCTAATTTTTTTATATGATAGATGATAGATAATAACATTCCTAACAACTTTCCTTGTATAATTTCTTGAAAAATTTATAGTTTCGGAGAAAAAAATATTTTTTGTTTTTTGTATGGAGAAATATGCATTTTATTTTTTATCTCAAAATATACGAATATACAAGTACCTGCAGATGGATTATTTTTTTCTTGATAGAGAATGATTGGACCTATATTGCAAATAAACCACACACATTACATTTTCCTATATTTCGAGATAAAAAATAAATTGTTTATTTCTCCAAACAAAATAAAACTAAAATTTTTTTTCTCTGAAACAATCCGCTTTTCAAGAAATTACATAATAAAAGTTATCAGAATTGTTATTATTTATCATATGAAAAAATCTCTGTATTTCTAAAATTGTTCCGATGATTATATAATAATTGATAATTCTTGGACATAGGAATAACTTGTGGAGTACCGAGCAAATTTTTTTTTATGTGATAGATAATAACATTTCTAACAACTTTTATTCTTGTATAATTTCTTGAAAAGTTGATAGTTTAGAGAAAAAAATAATAATTTTTTTTGGTATGGATAAATATACATTTTATTTTTTATCTCTTAATGTAGGAAAATGTACTGTGTGTGGTTTATTTACAGTATAGGTCCAATAATTCTCTAGCAAGAAAAAATTGTCCATCTGCAGGGACTTGATCACGCCTTTTAGTCGCGAAATTTTAGAATTGGTCGCTCCTTTGTTTTCATTGATAGGTACACACATTCACGTAGAAAAATCGTAATGAAAATTTGTATCCAAGGAAGAACTCTACCATGGTCATGCTGAATAAGGCATACCTCTTTCACAATGAGATCTACTGTTCTTTTTCTCTCTGTTTAGAGGATTTATTCTCAACAAAACACGCCACCCCGATAGGACCATATAATTTTTTTTTACATTTGCATTATTTATTATACAATAAAAGCTTAAATACTAGAAACTAAAACTAGGACTAAATTATATGAATAAAATGCACAAGGAGCCCGAGATGCACGCAGCGTTCCCCTTTTGTATAGCTATCTTGTATTATGTATATATTTGTATAACCGGCCCTTAGGTTTCCCAGACAGTCATTAATTTTTTGGATAAAATCGACTCATGCGTAGGACAAAGTTTTTCGTTTTTCGTTTCGTGTTTTTCGCTGTGCATACCAAATCAACCGTTATTCGATTTTATATTTCCGACCCGAAATAAGATATAAATATTCTGAAAACGCCTATAGATAGATCTTAGTTTGAATAACGAGATTATATGTTTGTCCTAATTTCGCTGTATAATCACATTGGACTCTGTTCTTCGGAAGAGTCAAAATTTTGTATAGATGAAAGGCACCGGGACCCCACAGGCCAAGGGTTTCGACTCCACAGACTAAAGTTTACAGGTCTAATGTATAAATTAACACTTGCTAATATGGGTACATGGCGCCAATTCTAAATAAAGGAATAGCCGCCAATATCTAGTTGATTTGACTATTATCACTAGAAATTAGAGTAACTTTGATAAATTGCAGCTCTTAAATGTAAAACACAGTAGCTACGAAAATAGATATTTGGTTCTCGTCGCGACATCTGGCGTACCCATGGGTATACAAAACCGACTACGCTGTCTTGTATCACGATTAGCAGTCCTCTTGAGTTATCGGTCCAAGGCGTAACTAAGAAAATCTAAAAATACCATTCATTCCATCCGTTCAGCTAAAGGGACTAAAATAAAATAAATAGTCATAAATTATTATTTGAATAAGTTTATTACCAACTAATCAATTCATTGCCTTACAAAATAATGTTTATTGCTTCCTTCGATTAACAAAGGTATGCGTATATACCTTTCGAGAACAAAATAATGAAAACTAACAAAACAGAATTTATCGAATATTTGGCTTGACCATAATAATATATTTCATGCATGAAAATATTTGTATAGAAAGAATCATGGCTTTTTCGCGAATATTTTTTGTTTTTATGTCTTCGCTTAGAAAACAATACTATTATTTTATATCTTACTTAAGATTTTTTAAGTTATTGGTGGTAATAGGTGCTGAATTTATGGATAATAAATAATTGTATGTATGTTCGTTACATAATTTTTATTGAGTTTTATTGACCTTAACAACGTTCGAAAGTAAAAACCGCACATTTCGTCTTGAGGGGTGTTGTTTGCTAAGCGACGATACGATGTTAGGTATAGTTAGGCCCAGTAGCTTATATATGATCGAACCTTTATTACACCCTGCGTCATTATGCTATGGTTCCAAAAAATAATTCCAGTCTGTCGCAATGTAAATTGGGCAGTATTACACAAACCGCACCGCCACTTAGATAAAAAAAAGAAATATGGCCCCTGTCGAAGATTGTTACATTTTTCCACAAATCCCCATTGTGTTACAGATAATAAAATGATAAAAACTTTCCATTATTCACCACCTTTTGCGGGCCAGATACATGACAATTGAAAGTATGTCCTATGTCAAAGTTGTGAATCTTTTTTTTTATGATAAAGTGACGGTACGAAATGTAAAGCACGAGGTGAGCCGAAAAAACATATCAACTCAGTAATAATTTACTCTATAGGTATTTCAATATTTTTTATTTTACTATCCACAACCTCACCGCGAGCACGCGATGGCTATTAAAATCAATAACGAGTTTCCAATAGCTACGTGCAGCACCCGGACAAACCAATGTAGATTTAAGGGTGTGATGTATATATATTTTTGTAATATTCTTAGTGTTTAAAATAAATAAATAAATAAAAAATAAAAAAAATATTAACGGCAATTATTGATGGAAATAGTCTGACGACATTTCAATTCTCGTCTCAACTCGCCGGTGGAAAAGCACCTTAACTTCAGTTATGACCATTTTATACAAGATTACGAGATAAAACATTTCTTTTATTTTATATTTCAATTCAGAATTGGTATGAGCTGTTTAAACTTTTTCTATAACCGATCTAATAGAATTTGAAACAACTATAACCAACAGTTACATACTTTGGGGGCAATGCTAAAAAACCGCCGTGACAATACTGAGAATATTATTATGATATGTAGTTAAAAATATATCATTTTTTAGGATAAACTTCTATATATAAGCTCGCTAGGTGAGTTCGATTTTTTAATCGAGCTGACTCTGAACGAATATAATTTCATCGATTCTGGTAAACGTAAACTAAACTTAATGATTCGCCTCTTTTATTTTACAAAAGCAACAGATTATATTTTATTTTAGAAAGGTCAAATTAATCGACGCGCATACTCGTAGACTAAAGGTGTCCCACGGCAATTAACACGAAATCGGCTTCACTCGGTCAGATAAAAGCTTGAATAGAAGCAAAAACGAAGGTAGATGAGACATCTATGTACTTTCTCTACCTATTGGAGCTGTGGGGGTCAAAATGACCGGCACGACACACGTATTTAGCCATATAACATGACCGGCGCGGCCCTAACGAACTTCTTTTGCCGCTTGGTTTTTAGGACATTTTAACTTCGAATCAAAAAAATTCTAGACTTTAATTTCAAGTTCAATTCAAAAGTTGCGAACTAAGCAAAGAAATGGTTAATGTAAAATGTCAATCTAAAATCAACAGATGCATGCCTGTTTAGGTAAACAACGATTGAACATTACGTGTAGGTACGTACTTAGGCTGGTTTTAGTCTTACGCCGACGGCACGCTCACCGTCAGCGCTGATTGTCGAGATATATGAACTTCTAGGAAGCGTTTTTGAATGATGCGTAGCTATCAGCGCGCACGGCGATCAGCGCTGACAACTACGCGGCCGTACGCGTCGCGCGTCAGCTCCGCGTAGCTGTCCACGCTGACGATCGCACGAGCGCCTCTGCTTTCAGTGAGCGTTCTAGAGTCGAGCGGAGCGGACGTGGTCAGCGCGTACAGTCATGGCGAATCGCGAAGTCGATACTGGTCGAGTTATCGATGAGGTACGCCTGAGGAAGAAATTGTGGGATGCATCCGATCCACTCTACAAAAATAAAGATGCAAGAAACAAAGCCCTCAAAGTGCCATATAACAAGACAAATTCTCCTGCAACGGCTCTCTGCTCAATCAATGGATGAACGTGTAGTCTTCGTCGTCGCCGGTTTTTATTTTTTTGGGATAGATAGTACAAAGCAGCAATAATTAATATACTCCGCATTTTGGTCGTCGTCTGTACAGCAAGGCGGTCAGTACGATACTAAAACAAGCCACGCTGAGCCTCAGCGCTGACAAACTACGCGCTGAGCTATGAGCACTGACGGTGCGCGTGCCGTCTGCGTAAGACTAAAACCAGCCTTAGTCCGGATTTGTGACCGACGCTGCTTAGACATAATAATTATACCTTTTAAGCCGCTCCCGGTTGAAAAATCCCATCATAGAACCAAATACTGAAATGTCGCAAAAAAACTTACATACATAAATTGAAAAACTTTAGCAGGCGACGAACATGTTAAGACATAATGTTGAAGGCTTGCATTTTGTACCAAAACTAAACATCTATTGAGCTTTCAAAATATTACAGGTATCTAAATTAATAGGTTTGGCAAGTTATATTGAACCTTAAGTTTCCGTTTGCTTGAATCGATGGTAATTATCTAGTTTCAAATATTCATAGAATCTTATTTCTACGCCGACCTAATTAACACTGATAGATATGAAAGATTTTTTTAGATAAACTTTTGATATAATTCAATTTAATACTTATACAATACTTGTCTAGAATTTTACAATTCCAACGGGTATAAACTTTAGGTGAATATTCCAACGATATTTATTCATTTAAACTATAATAAAAAAAACACTATGTAAATATGGTAACGTACAAT